GGAGTGAAAACCTTGCAAAGTCAAAATGGGAATCGTCTGGATAAACAATGTTCACCGGAATGGAAACAGAGACTTACTCGACCGCTTGTTTACACGATTCTGAAGTAGGTTCGGACTATGAATGGGACGTAGCCTGATCGAAACAAGTTATAGCCGAGGTGTCAGTATCCCATAAAAGCAAGTAAAGAACGAGAGCACATTGGTCGACATTTTCCCGAACCTGTATCCCTTGGTCACATTGGGGTTCAGAGACCGGGAATTTGAGCTGAGTGCATATAAGTGTTCAGGCCATTTCCAATAATCTAGCCGAAATGAAAGATGGCCAAATTTCTAAGCCATACGAAATAATTGCTATCACAGACATAAGTAATCGCTGGAATGACGGATGTCGAGATTTCTCTACCAGGCATGTCGTTTATCCGAAGGGACAGACCCACAAAGGGAGGAGGATTAATTTTATACTAAAGAAGCGATCCCCTGTGCAAGGCAGTGGAAAATTCCCACTTAGTCTTTCGGTTCTGCTTGGAGCTGGCTGCAATTTAAAGGCAAAGATACCGCTTTATGGCCTTGGTGCAACGTCCGCCCACATCCTACTCCAGAAAAAGATGGGTACTTTGCGAGCAATTTAACATGCAACCTAAATGAAAAGCAAACTCACGTTCATAGCATGCACCATTTCAACCTACACTATTTAGAAACTCTTGCTACTATTGGAGAACAATTCAACTGCGATCAGTAACAGCTGGTAACTGGTGTTCCGCTTTATGATCACATCCTTTTCCCCAGTTGGTTCAGAATTGGTAATAGGCCATCTTCTTTCTATCGTGTTCAATAACGGGGAACATGATTGCTTATCCTTTACGCCGTGGTGATCAGGAAGTGATCCTTTTCAACTTACTCTGCTTTGAGGTATATTGAAATGAAAACCATGAGACAGTGCGCACGTTCACACGTTACGACCGGTTAGTACAGGTGGTCAGTGCCATAGCCTGGTTGTTCCTCGCCGAAGTCAACCGGAACGAATGTGTCAGCGAATTCAATCAACTGGTTATGACTGCTTAAGACACAAGAGTTTGCATGGGGCCTGAAAATGTTACTTTCGTGAGGAGCAGGACTCGCACATGCAGGGTAGTACGCAAAACAACCTGGCCTGCGTATAGCTTAGCTACAACCCTAAAAAATTGAGAAAACTAGGTAGCCAAACAAAAACACTACATTCAGTTGCACAGAGAAGACAAATCTGCACAACAGCAGAACATGGGGACAGCATTCAGCGCTAACTACAAACTGCTATACAAGCTCGTTATAGGCCTTCAGAAGGCAAGACAGAGATCTACTCCAGTCCAGAATGCTAACGGCTCTAAAGAACAGCCACAGATGTAGCCAAGACTTTGTGGACGCGGTATGTCCCCGACTTCCAGAGGCCTTGTTAACAGATAATCTTTCGGCTATTGTTGCCCCGCCGCCGGAATTCAACTACATCCCTTTTACTGCTGAATCAATGTCACAGAAGCTGGCGTTTCTGCACAACCGCAGCCCTCAGGTGCCGATAACATTTGACCAGATACACCAGGAACAGAAGCAGCACAACTAGCGGAACCTTTGGCTAAGTTCATCTAACGCTGCTTAGACCAGAACCCAGTTCCTGTCATGTAGAACCTTTGCTTCATGAAGGCTGTTGCATAGCTGAGTGCGCACACTAATGCTCAGTGCATCTCTCTATGCTGTCCACGGTCATGGAAACCATTCTTACACATACGCTGTTGTTCTACCTGGAAAACTGCGAAATGCTCACTCCCGGGTAGCACGGCTTTCGTCGACAGCAATCGGGAACACTGCGTTTATTAATTGCACGAATTAGTTGGACCTACTCGCCTAAGGCTGAAGAGAATGTTGACATAATCTGCTTGGATTTGTCCATGACATTCTATCGTTTAGATCATCAGATTCTGCTTTCCAAGCTTGAATATTACGGGATTGACGACCTTTCCATAAGTTCGATCGCCAAATTTTTCTCCAACTGTGATCACTGGTCAGAATTCGGTGCCCCATATTTCACCTATAAATATCGAGTGTGGTGTGCCGCAACCTTCAGTTTTTGGGTCACAACAGCTTATGGAATGTTTTAAATAGCTCGTACAGTTAATAGCATCAAATTTCCAACTATATGCTGACAACATCATACTGTGGCGGAGAGATCAGTTAAATGCTGTTTTGCATCTGCATCTCACTGAAGATACATTAATGGTCACTGCAAAATTTACTGTAAGTCAAGATGTGTAAATGAAAGTTATTATACATAAAACACCAGATCAACTGCCAAGACAAGCTCGGAATGCAAAAACGGCAGTGATCTTTCGTTGAGCTTGATCTGGGCATGTTGGATCAGGATGATTTGGCTTAGTTCCGGCAGTTCGATAAGGCATTAAACGCTGGAACTCAACACATCTGGTTGTTGAAACTTGTGTTCGGACATACAGTCCTCTCTATTTTACGATAGCTCCTCAATGCGCATGAATGCCAGTCAGTCCAATACGCAACTCAAACCTGGCATACATGACTGAAACACGACTTTGATGCACTGGAGAGGACTCAAACGTAGACATCCAAATGCCCTTCCATAGAAGCAGCTGAAGCGTTTGGACGTATTCAGCTAGCGGTATCGTCCATTAGGATGCCACCTGCTAATGACCAGCTTGCTTCTGCAAAATCCACATCATATGTGCCGCTCCTTACTTCAACTCAGCAACGCTATAAAATTACTAGGTCATTTCATGTAACTAGTTGCAAAATATATCCCTCTAGAGTGCCGCCGATATTCCTTTGCTATTTTTGTTTGTCACTCGCTGAATGCTCCCTCTCCGTTGGTCTTTTCTACACCGATAAAAATCATAATTAGAAGACGGTTGGATGACTCACTCTTTCACTTACATTCTGTTAGCACTAATTCCCATTCCACTCCTGGAATTTACCCTGACTCTTTTAGCTGTCGTCTATTCGCACAGTGCAGCAACGCGGGTTACGGCACTACAACGGATCAATTGTCTAGCCATTTCATACTTCAACACTGACTGCTTTTTATTAACTTCTTTCAATATCCCTAGTAGACCACCGAGCTGGGCTTGCAAAGCAACGCCCCTTGGCCCCTATAAAGTCACACTTCTTTGCTCATTAGATTGTGTTCCTTTACACACGCTCTCTCCTTTCAACTCCTGGGAAAAGCTTTGGACATTTGATTGTTTACCTACTAGAGATGTGAAACTGTGCTGGCGAAGGACTGCCGAATTACAAACAATTGGATCTCTTAATAGTCAGTAAATGGACCGACTACATTTTCTGGTGACATTCGTGGTTTAGTAGAGTTTTCTGGCGGACAACACCCAATTCGATTTTAAGTAACTAGGAAATTTTGCATTTTGTGCTTTAATTGGGAAAACTGAATACTATATTTACTCACCTACGACCATTCCACTAAAGAAACCAACTACTTGGGTCAATTTTATTAAAGAAAAGGAGGATGTACAGAAATGAGATAGTTGCTGTTACTTGGTTCCAACCGTTTGTGGTACATTTGCTACGCTTCCGACTTAACGCACTTAGTAAGTCATGTTTCAAGTTAATTCGCCTCCCTACTTTGGGGTGCGATCGCTGATCAAACAGGAAAATATGTCAGCAGCCTCTCATTTTTGCCACATCACCAAGTCTTCCATACATGATAGCTTTCCACCACGGCTATATTGATACTACCTGGAGACGAATTGCCTGTTTTGTCCGCTCTACCCTCTAATCATTTACTCGCTAATTTGCCTGACCAGCTGAAGTATGCTTCCTTCTTAGTGTTTACTTATTTCTGTACTTTGACTTGGCCAAGGAGAAGCTGAATAAAAATAACAACCATCGACAAGCGAGCCGTCAGGGATGTCATTTAGATGCACTGACTTGAAGGATTGTAACCATTTTTGGTACTAAAGTACTTACTATTATTTGTATTATTCCCTAGCCACTCATTATTGGCAACTTAATAATACTTGTTATTCATTTTGGCTAGCGACAGACTAATGGCACAGTCCTTGTACTTATTGTTACTCCCGCAAAATATTCCACTTTACCCCCTGGGAGTAACCATCCCCAGGTTGAGAATCACCTATTTTCCTTACAATGAATAAACTTGAAGAGAGAAAATCCAAAAGGTTAGCCGAGGGGAATGCCAATGTTCACCCCCCTTAAGCGTTATTTGCTCACAGGCACTGCGAAATACCATAAAACCCCGATGTGCTGAATGTGGACAGCATAATACAAGGTAGAGTGTCCTAATATTTAAAGATACAACTGAAAATATCTGGCCCAAGCCGCTGTACTAAGAGCTGTCTCGTAATAAGCAGTTAGTTGCCTTGTCCTTGTAGCGATTGCGGACATCCCGGAGGAATTACACCCGCACAAAACCAATTAATACCTGCCTTTTTCAACAATTGCTCCATTTACCACTATCTTAATTTGTGCACCGTGATACAATTATTGAGCTTTATCGGGAGCGGTGATTCAGCCTAAGTCAATATTTCGTTAGATTACTAATGCAAGCGCGATGCACAAGCTTCACACTGGTTACACCCTTGAGCGTTGTGAGACCACTTGAATCGGAATAAGCTATTAATTGTAGGCCTGTTCAATGTACTACCAAGCACCGGAACCACAGCAACTCAACATTGCGCCAAATTTGACACTATAGAAGCACCGATAGTACACTGTCAATCACTGCAGATGCTTGCTCCAAGTAAGGCGAGGCACGCGGAACTGTACCCTCCTCGGGTGCTGCGACGATTTTGCACTCATGCATGGGGCAGTGTGTTCGGCGTACCCATATGCTCGGTTTGCTGCAACGGAACGGATGAAGAGCAGCGCAAGTAAACATGTGTGTACTCGCCTTCATCGATCTGGTGGTCCGCAGCCAAGCAATGGTCTCGGGTTATGGGTACACAAAAGAACAAGTGAAGTAAACAGTTCTTCATTTGACTACGATCGCGTGACGTGTAGTTACCATGCTCCAAGTCAGGGATTCAACAATTGTGACTAGGCCATTCGAGTAAGTTTGTATAAATTATAAGGTTTCTGCATATGAGGTGACCACTCCTCGATCCAAGTTTGAGTTATGAGTGTAGATGGACTAGTTTCTAAACGTGTTTTACCGTTTTATATTATCCAGGCACTGTAATAGTACAAAACGCAGTTTAAAGAATCGTGTGGATTGCAAAGCTGCGATATATTTAACGTTTGCGTGTGTTTTATTCTTTACAGCCTCTAGAATATCATGAGGATTACCAGAGTAGACATTTACTGGCAGTAGCGTGGTCTGCACAAGTCGGTGGACAAAAAATCCAACCTGGTGTAACTATTTGTCAGTGATTCACCGTTCCGAGCCATCTAGGGTTTAGAAGAATTTTAGCTGTTGCAGGATATTTCATTTATATTCCCATTACGCCTTTCCATGGAGATAATGTTAGGGAAGTTTTCCGCTTGTTTGTGAGCCACTAGCATCCAAAGTGATAGTGATGCATAGCAAAGAAACTTTTAATTCTGGTGAACAACTCAGCATGCTCCTACATTACATTTACTTATCAACTTACTCTTTTTATCGTTTTTGTATGCTACCCAAGTCGGAATAACTCGCATGATTCTAGGCATTTTGCTTAAAATTAAGCATCTACAAAGGACTGTCTGCCTGAATGGTAGACTGCCGGTTAACGTGCACCAACACGTTGTGGAGACTAGACTGACTACCATATTGAGCTAGCATTTCCGATTCCAGTCCTATTATCCCATATATTTCTCAGTTATGTCTGTTAATCCACTGAGCCTGATTAAATTCAAAAATTAAATAGGTGGTCTATCCAGCACCGTCCTCCGTTACGCAATCTTTCTAGGTTTACCTTAAATAGTTGCTATACCATTGATTAAATCACACTTTCCGATGAATCGCCGTGATGTAAAATGTAAGCTCAACATGGCACATTAGAACTGACCACTTCGATCCCAGTTCTACGTAGTGTTTAAGTGACTATTAGGCGTACCTACTGTTTTCTGAAATATTTTCCAACGTCACATTTCATTTGCATGTAGAGATAATTTGCGTTATGTTGAGTCAAGTTACTGCCGTTTGGAGGGGAAACGTTTTGAATTAGGCACAATATTTAAAGGGGTCGTCCCTCGCCTAAATCGGCGGTAAAGTAGTTGATCCGTTATCCTAGCTGAGTAATTTAAGGGCAAACGTTTCACCACTTCGCTCACTGGCATCTTCAGTGCATTGCTGCGTAGAGAAAACTCTCACGGAAAGTGTCGTCTGGGCGTAGCGTTTGAAATCGACCTCCTCGATCCGTGTCACGTGACCTCTGTTCGTTCGATTTCCGCTGCCCAGTTTCATGTTTTCTCAGCTGTAGGTATACTGCGTCGAGAACAATGCCGAGGTTCACTGAATTCTCCGTAGAGGGCCATGCCTGGAGGAACTCTCTTGCTTTTCTTGTCCTTCTGTGCGCCAGAATTTCTGGGTTGTCCCAGTTAACGTTTTGTACTTCCTCATTGAGACGCGCTGACATCTGTGACGATGCAGTATGGTATCCACATGCACGCTTATGCTCTTTCATTATTGAAAATCGTTTTCTCCCCATTTGACCCACGTACTGTTTTTCACAGTTCGCACACTGTATATTTTAGACGACATTGAGGCATTCGTGTGCCACCAGTTTTCCTTTACATTTTGATAAATTTCCCTTCTAAGTCGCAGCCGGTATTTGTGCTACCATCAGGTTGTGCGACTTGTAGAGTCTGGCTGTCTTTTTCGATACGGCAAGGCGATCCGTTTCCCCGTTGTTGGTACACGTGAGATAGTTGTGCTTCTTCGGTTTAGGTGTCATCAGATGAAGTTGTGTGGGTAGCAGTTGCGAATGAAAGATATAAACAGATATCCCTCTTCCTTTCTTTTCGCTTCCACAGTATTGTAATGGGATTCTATCCTTCGAAACCGGGTGTATATACAGTTAATTTGTGACACTTAGGGTGACTGTTGTTGAAGTTCAGTATATGCTCGGTGTGTGTGGCTTTTCTGCAAAATGCTGTTTGTAATTCGTCTTCCTCTGTTCTAGTAACCAACACGTCCAAAGAGGATAGTTGGTTTTCCACCTTTCATGATGAAACGAATATCTTGTATTGCATTGTTAAGTAGGTCATGTGCGATCTGTAGCCGGCTGAATTTGAGAATCACTAACCTATCGTCAACGTATCCACCCATAACTTTGGACTAACGACTGGGAGTAGATCCTTTTTCAACCTCTGCATGACAACCTCCGCAACTAGTACAGATATGAGGATCCCATGCCCATAAAACATTCCGTTGAATTTGAAGTAGGTGGTAAGACACAAATCCTGGAGCTTAAATATGCTTTCAGTTATCAGATTTCCAGTCGTTTATCGTCCACTCTACGGACACCATCGCAATGTGGCCGGACCTTAAGGTGGTGCCATGTATGGGTACCTCAGAGCTTTGCTGGGTGGTGCGTTGTGCACTTTCAAAGCCACTCATACCAGAGTTGTCAATGGTTAGAGGCCAGAAAATCTCAGTCTCCTGGTCCTCCTGGTTAAGGTTGGAATGTGGGGGGCTCCTTATTCCTTAAAACGGAATCCATGTAGCCCAACGCCAAACCCGATGCCTTACGGTCAGGCTTTCGAACTAAACGATTTGATTAAGAAACTTACTAGCCGTCCTGTATAATTCTGGGCAACCTGACAGTATCCTGCCCACGCAATACTAGGAATCTCTCTTCAAACAAGTTTCCGGTGCTCTGACCACAGCAGATTACAAGCAATAGTGCCCCATCCTCTGCATCGAGCTGGGTGGTTAGGGGTTTGGATGCTATTGCTCAAGACTCCATCTTCTTCTTCCCCCTCTTAAGCATTTTCACCCTTATCGTCCCATTCCAACTTCAATTTGTCCCTTTTGTATCCAAACTGCAATTCTTGGCCCTCCCCCATTTTGCTTTGATAGGCTTTTACATTTTAGCATCACCTCACATGTGAAGGCGGAGCGTTACCTTTACCCTATCGACATGCCCATATATAACACAGCAGTGGAGCCCAATTCATCGGTTTCCATTTAGAGACCTCGATCCGCACTCAGATTAACAAGTCTCAATGTACGCACATGGTTGAAGATCGATCAACTTGCAGCACTTGCCCGGACGTTAGAGGTCCTCTCCATTGATATCTGCTGTCTATCGGAGAGCCGCCTACAAGATTTGAGCTCGGTGCTCTGCGATCCTCTTCAGGTGACACCAGCAGAACTTTCTTATAACGCCCACCCGGGGACGATGAAGCTTTGAGCATCGGCCAAGCTGGTGTTGGTACTGCTCTCTGTTCCCGTGCTGAAGGTGCTCTGGTTGCTTGGATTCCAATCAGTAGCCGGTTGTGTGCGGTATGATTGGCTGGCTCGTTCAATGCTTCGAAGTCGCGCAAACTAACAGGTGTCTATTCGTCATCCTTGCATACGCGCCCACAAACTATAGCAATTATTCGAAAAAGGCGACGTCTACCGCCAAGTAAACGAGTTTCTTCGCCACAGGAGAAGCACGGACACTGTAATGCTTGTTGGGAATCTGAAAGCTCAAGTTGGAAAATTAGCCACTGAAGAACTGCATCTGGGCTGCCAACACTGTGTATGCTCTCGTAATGATAACGGTGGCGGCTACTTCATTTGTGTGTAGATGTTGTCTTCTTGCTTGGAAACACTGATTTCGGACACAGCACCCGTCAGCAGGTGACATGGTGCCCACCAGCCTCGAATTAGCTACGGACGCAAATCGATCACATAGCAATCACTTACCGCTGGAGTGGCTGCGTGCAAAACTGTCGCTGATTTGGAGCACATGTGTGGACACCGACCATGCACTTGTATAGGTTGACTTGCGAATGCATTTTGGCGGACGAGCAGGACGACACTGTGAGCATATTGCTACCAGCCAACTGAGGAATACAACCGTTCTGAATGCCTATCAAAGTAGACTGACATGTGAT